GTGTGGACGAGATGGCTCGAGCCTGGCCGTCATCCAGCAGAACCCTTACAGCTGAATTTTGGAATGAGACGCGCCAGCTTGAACTGCCCATGTATCGGCCACACAAATTGAAGAGCAAACCCTACAACAGACTGGCACTTTGCACACAGAATTACGGAAAGAGAGATCACTGCCTTGACCACAATGAGTATGATTCCACGCATCACAACGGTGATCAAAACGTGTGCAAACTACGTGATCGCCACCAGTGCGTAAGTGGCTTTCAGAGACATTCGACCGACGACTCGGTGCATTATGCTGGCGACGTTGAAGTGATAGTGCTGCTGCCGCTGCATCGCAAGGGTACCTCAGTGATATGTGGTGTCGTGTGCAAGGATCTAGATGGCATTCATGCACTTATGAAACTCGAACTGGTCCGCTTTGCCGTTCAGCTGATGAACAAGCTGAACGTGTTTGGCGTTTGGTCGTTTGGTGCTGAAGTGCTGGACAGCTGTGCAAATGTCGATCACATCCAATCCCAGCTACTCACATATGGAAAGGTATCCGATATCGCCCCATGTCCTGATGCGGCCATTGCAGGTGAGTGCCTCAAGAAAGTGCAGCAGAACATCAGCGCAACCTGCTTCCCTGCCGCGGCGCAGCCCAGTTGCTCAGGGAGTTGCCAACGCAGGGGCGTGCGGAGCCTGGTGATCGGACCGGCGCACAACCACTTGTGTCGCAACACTGCTCCGTTCGCCAGCCAATACGCTCTGACACAGGTGAGCTATGGCGCCACGCTACCCGACTTGTCAAAGAGTGCCGAGTTTCCTGACTTCTTCCGTACGGTGCCATCGGATCTTCTCCTGACCAAGGCTATTACCGACATTCTTCTGCAGTTAGACATATTGCATGTCTCTCTTCTCGTCGAGGACGACTCATTTGGTCAAAAGCTGAAGCGAGAGTTTGAGAAGTACTATAATGGCTGCATAGCCAGGACAACGTTCTTCGGTGAAAGTCGAACGGACGACTTGGAAAGAACACTGCGTCTTTTCAATGAAACTAGCATGGTAAGATTAGAGTTTATGTGTGTGTGTGTGTGCGTGTGTGCGCGCGCACTCGCATGCATGCGTGTGTGTTTGTGGCGTGTGTGCACGGACGCACTCGTGTGCAAGTGCATTTTAGCTTTAAAAAAATTGTATATTGTCCTATGTTGAACTCGGATGGTGAGCCAATTTAATTATGGTAAAAGCTCGTAACATTTTGTCCTTCTTTAAAAAAAAAACATTGTACTATATGTGCACAGTCAGGTATGTAGCTGTTGCCCTATGACTTGTTCCGGCTAGCCTGGACTTTTGTGTGGGCCAGTGATGGAAGTCACTCACATAATTATGATATCTGCACTAAATTAGTGGCCTGCACTTTTACCAAGTGTTTCTATAGCTGGGAACAGCGGTACATGCAATTGGAATCTAGGATGATACCGCCAATCCTCTTTCCTAGGTTATATTCATCCACATTCTACACTGACCTGTGAGGGGTTTTGATAACCCAGGTGGAGAGAAGTGGTGGTGGTGCCCCTCCCCCACCCCACACAAAGAATTAACTTCGCGTGTGCCTCATCGTACGAGTACCTCTACTTTCTCTGTCAGTATTCACCGGGGAATCCCCTTCTCTGTCAGTATTCACCGGGGAATCATCGTAGCTAGAGGGACGGCACACAATCGTACTACCCAAAGCGATATGCATGTTGACCTGCTGACCCGAAGCACGACCACGACAAGTGATGTCACATCATGTGATGCTACGTGAATTGCCCTGCCCCAAGGACGCCTGTAGCGGGAAACCTCGGAAGTAAGACTCACATGATACGTAGCGTTGCAGTCCCCCACTGTGTCATCTCACTGTGTGCTATGACTCTCTTGTAGTCACTATTCAGTAATGTGGAATATTATTCAGCACGTGGGCGCAAAGCAGTGTTTCTTGCTGTGTGTGTGTGTGTGTGTGTGTGTGTGTGTGTCTGTGTGTGTCTGTGTGTATCTGTGTGTGTGTGTGTGTGTGTCTGTGTGTCTGTGTGTGTGTGTCTGTGTGTGTGTGTGCATGTGTGTGTGTATGTGCGTGTATGTGTGTGTGTGTGTGTGTGTGTGTGTATCTGTGTGTATCTGTGGTTTGTCTACAGAGAGTTGCATCAGTCATCCTAGGCGGCAGCCATGCCTCAAGGCAAGCATTCGACCGTGCTGCAGAACTGCAAACGGGCCATGAGCAGCTATTCTTTGCCAGTCACGTCGGAAATGTCCATCCGAAACTCTGGGCCAATCTCAGCATCATCACTTTCCAGCCCGTGCCGCGCAGCGAGACCTTCACTCAGCGCGAGTGGAGCAACATTAAAGCTCAGATCACGCGTAGCGTCACGTCGTTCAAGTTTGCTGACACTGACGCTGAAGCACACTACATTGTGAAGAAGATCATTGAGCAGCTGCAAAACCAAACAGCTGAAGAATGCCAGGCGGCTGCAGGAGATGGAGGCGATAGTCCTGATTATGGATCAGGTGGTACTGACTATACATCGCGATTCTGTGGCAATCTTGAGCAGCAAAGCAGTTCCTGCATGTCGTCTCGCTTCACTGCCCTGGTGCAGTCATTTTTCAACCACTATGACGCGGAGAACGAGCTGAAGCGGATTATGCACACCATGATGACATCCGGCGATGCAATGCGCAGGGTGCTGAAACGTCTTTCATCGCGCTGTCACAATTATGTCAAGCGAAAGAGAGTCAGCATCCAGAAAGCCAAAAATGAGACCCAACCTGGAGATGATAACTCAGAATGTGCGGATGCCATAAAGAAAGAGGAAACTGATCTAGAAAACCATTGGTGTCACATCTTCCCAAAGTTGCTCCACAAACGAGAAGGCTACTTTACCGAGCCCGGAAAAGAACCTCCCCTGCTGAAAAAGCTCTACTGCAATCTGAGGTACGATAATTTGACCGTGGAAATGGAACACCTCAACCTGCGGGGCGATGACCTCAGCCAGGCGGCATATGATGTCATAGGTATCGGGTCTCTTGCTGAGAGGCAGGACGTTACCTGGACTACAATTGGACACTGGGAAAATGGAGCCCAGGACGTGTTCGGTACAAGCACATTGCACCACCACCACCATCATGACAAGCACTTGCTCAAGCACCTCGTCCAGCGCTTTCACCAGTCATGCAACCCTGGCTTCTGCCAGCCTGGCACTACACAGAGGAACATTGAGAGCATGACCAAGTGCTGCTTCCTGTGCGCGCCGTGCAACAACTCGGCCGTATCGACAGTCGGCAATGCGACCGAATGCGTCAAGTGTCCGTACTGTCACTCGCCCAACCGGGAGGTTGGAGGCTCGGCGTGCAACCCGATACCGGTCACGAAATCCACGTGGGATCAAGGCTGGGCTATTGCAATGGTGTCTCTTGCTGTGCTGGTGTGCGGTGCTATTGTCTTCGCCATCATCTGGAGCCTGCACCAAGTGGAAAAGCAGCACAAGGCGAAGAGGGGAACGTCATTGCGGCGCCTAACCAGCACCAGCTCCAGCATCACCATGACAAGCACAGACTCGGTCAGTGCCAAACCGGGCAAGTCACGCTACGTCCTCTTGGGCCTCCTGCTCGTCGGCTGTCTGCTGGTTATCCTGCTGCCATGGTCACCCAGCAAGGGCCTGTGCCAGGTCCAGCAGCTGCTGATTCCGTTCCTCACACCCCTAACATGCGCTGGTATGATGCTATCGCTGATCAATCGCCATCGTGTGGCCTTCATCTCCGAGTTGATGCGCTGGAAGAGAGAAGATGCAGTGTCGGCTGGTCAGCACTACATGGAGAATAACTTACAGTACGCCACCATTGCCGCTGCCTCCATTCTCCTTGGCACCATTGTCTTGGTAACCGCCACCACCTCTGATAACGTTGTTGACAACTGCTATGATCGTGTGCGTCACATGCAGTGTAGTGTGTCGGTTGTTGGCTCTGCGCTTTACTTCTCGCTGTCGTGGATCATGTGGGCCGTGCTCTTTGCCTACGCTCTCTACTCATTCGTGACCGCCGAGAACGCCGGTGTGATCTTCTCCCGTCCGTCTTCGATAGCCTGGGCGTCGCTTGGCCTGCTGTTCCTGTGGACGCTGCTGTTGCCGTCGCGCTTCGTCTTGCCCCGCGTCAACCCCGTTACGCTGATCGCTCTCGTCAACAACCTGCACACGTGCATCACCCTGGCCATCACGTGCCTGGCTGATATCCGCGTGGTGCGTCGTCGCCAGCGCATTGCCCCGCCGTCGTTCAGCACCAACTCCCAGAGCAACATGGAGCAGAACAGTGCATCGGGTGGCGCAGCCGGCAAGAACGGTGGGGCGCACAGCAGTGGAGCGGCGTACCTGCACACGCACTCGCAGTCCACCAATATCCTCGTCTCGCCGGTGTCGCCGGGCCAGCAGGATAACAAGGGCGACACGCCAACCACCACCACTTCCACGTCGACCAAGATCCTCTTCACGTTTGATAAACCTGTTGCGACGGTGGAGTACACCACCGGGGAAGTCAGCGCTAGTACCGTTGACAAGTCGGTCGTCACTGTCGAGGAAGTCAGCACCGGCTCTGACCTGAAACGGCCCGTGTCTTCTCTGTCGCGGAACGCAAGTGTCCTTAACCCGACTCCACCGCCATTCGATGACAGCCTGGCCATCACGCACATCAGTATGTTCAACACGAGCAAGGCTGCACCGCTCTCGCCTCCACCTGACGAAAAGGCCACTGCTCTCTGAGTGCATGTGTGACAGTCACGGTCGGCCCGACTGCTTCTTTTTATGTCTATTTCTCTTTTTTTCTCCCAATTACACCTACTGTATGTGGACATGCAATGCTTGGCAGCAAATCTCTAGTCTGGCGTTTGTTTTCGTCTTGCACTCCCGGCGAACGCAAGCCTACCACCTCTGTACCTCATTGCCTTTCCCAGGACATGCTCGACTATACACAGCCAGATACACTGCACTGCCGGTCGTGCATCTACTATAATATCATTGTTGATACACGACATGGCACACCCTGCCGATTTACATGTTGCTGAATGCTACAGGGTTGTATTTCATTTGCCGTTTCGTTCTGGATTACCAGTAGATTTGTATAAGTGTCTGCATTGTCTATGCAGCCTCCGTTACAGGCAAAATAAACACAATGAATATTTTCTGCATTGTGCACCCTTGTACATTGTCTGCTAGCATCTTTTGGCCATAGCTCTCCCTATGACAAAGGTATTGTATGACGTACGAGATACGGTTGTTTAGACGATGGTCTCGTGTCACCTGTGGGCACTGTATGCCGCTATGCGTATAGTCCGCAACCACAGCCACCATTATCGGCACCTCTCACCACAACTTACGGGGAAGATCTATGGGTCAACTGCAGAGTACACGCTCACGCACCCAGTACAATAATACTTTAAACACGAAGTAGATCTACTACTAATACTCAAACGAACACCTGTCCTGGGGTTGTTATGTGACAATCCTGAACCTAGGCTATTATCATGAAATAATTATAATTGCTGGTGCATGGCACTACATATACATGGACATGGTGTGTTTGTGGGGGAGGGGCCGGGGGGGGGGTCCTGGGGCAGCATGGCTGAGTCTGAGGTACTGGACACAGATCACAGACCAGTGCGCGATTGGTGCGCTTTAGCTTTGCGGCCCATGCCCAGTAAACTCCGGATAGTGCCATTTCGGCACCATACAGTGATGCACAACCCAGAGCTAGGGATCGGGAGTGACGTGCTTTGAACCATGTGAACCGTGACTCGTGAGGAGTTACTTGTGAGCTTTATCACTCTGCGTTCTCCGGTCATGCGGCCAAGTAACTAGTTCCAATGGAGACGATGCTATGACTGTATGGGCATTCTGATCATGTTTATTGCGAGTCAAGTAAAACAGTTGTTTGTAGTTACTTGCTCTTGAAGTACATGATGGAGATCTACCACTGTCTGTCAGTTTTACATTGGAGTCTTCAGACTTCTGGCAATACACATAATATTCACAGAATACCAAGACTGCAAGAGTAAAAAAGCTACCGGGCCCGCGGGGTGTACATGTCGGTATCGGTGAAGTTAGTTCTTTCTCGCGTGATCTTCGCTATCACATGATGCTCAGATGAGTGCAGGACACTCGGCCGAGTGCCATTTACTTTGCCTATGATCACGGTGTGCCCTTCAAAATACCCTTTCATGCTATCAGCAGATCACGTTTAGGACATGGATCAGCCATGAACCAGGCATTGTGAACAGCAGGGCAATGATGGTACCGGGTCGTGTCTGGGGGCAGACAGGAGGAGGTGGATCTGCGAACTCAGCAGTGTCGCTATGTATACCGGTAACTATCTCTGTGCAGCGTTCCGCTAGTAGAGGGAAGGAGATTGAGTTGCTTCGATCGTGTGCAGGTTGCTTTGTCGTTGCTCGAACATAGTGGAACATGTTGTGCGGCACGGTACTGTTTCTGGCCTTGGCTGGCCTGGCCTTGGGTCAAGAGCATTGCGGTAAGATTAACAGCTATGCGAGGCATTGTTCCACCCCCTTGCATTGCACGCAGTCATTCACCCCATGGCATAGGTACCGGTAATAGGGGTATTTACCATGTTTACTGCACTAAATAACACAATCATATAACTCAGGCCAGCCAGGGTTACCCTATCAGGCCTGATGGGTTACTTTTAGTAATCAGCATAAAAAAATTAAAGAAAATCAGCATACCGGTCATTATAATTCAAGTTCAGCAAATGTACTAATATTGTAATGAGGCAGGGCGGTACCGTGTTTCCCCGAATATAAGTCGCACTCAATTACAAGTCGCACCCCCGTTCCCCCATTTTCAGGTTTTAGCCATATTGATTAGATTATTGACTTCGCTCGATTGTAAGTCGCACCCCCTTTTTTACCCTTGAAATTTAGTGTACACGGTACGACTTATATTCGGGGAAATACGGTACTTTAGCATCCTGTGCGGCTCAGCCTACGACGGTGCATTCCAAAAATCGCTTCTCCGCTTCTCCAGAAACTACAATGTCAAAGAGGAAACCTAGAAGGCCACTCCAGAAACACTCTGTGATCGTTTAGTTTGGCCTCACATTACAGGTTTGGCCTCACATTACAGGTTTGGCCTCACATCACAGGGGCGTCGGAAGGTATTTACGGTGGTACGGCCAGCTACCTGAAGTACACGCCGCACACGCGTGGGGTCAGGTCGGCTCTTCTGAAAATGTTCAATACTTACATGTAGAATCAAAATCAGTGCTCTATTGATTCACGGCGTATCTGGAACAAAGAGTGGTACGGTCAATACCGTAGTGACCGCAGCGTGTCCAGCGCCCCTGCATTATATTTATTAATAATAACTTTAGTATAACAGGACTTGTATCGGTGTTGATTGTTTCAGCTGTTCCACCGTATGACTAAATAGTTATACCTTCATTGTGATGTACTGCAAGCTGGGAAACGTTTGCGCCAGTTCTAGCTCACGATTTGCGAGCACAGACCAATTTGCAACGGGGAAATGTTTGTGATTGGAGTCAATTTCATCAGCCAGTTAGCTTTCACGCCATCGTGACTGACCGTCGTTTCTAGTTTGAAAACTGACTCGGTTTCTCAGCTTACAGTACGTGCAGTACACTAGTGACTCAGTGTATGGTCCAGGGTCAGACCTTTGTATGCCATGCGGGTCAGACCTTTGTATGCCATGCGGGTCAGACCTTGGTATGCCATGCGGGTCAGACCTTTGTATGCCATGCGGGTCAGACCTTTGTATGCCATGCGGGTCAGACCTTTGTATGCCATGCGGGTCAGACCTTTGTATGCCATGCGGGTCAGACCTTTGTATGCCATGCGGGTCAGACCTTTGTATGCCATGCGGGTCAGACCTTTGTATGCCATGCGGGTCAGACCTTTGTATGCCATGCGGGTCAGACCTTTGTATGCCATGCGGGTCAGACCTTTGTATGCCATGCGGGTCAGACCTTTGTATGCCATGCGGGTCAGACCTTTGTATGCCATGCGGATCAGACCTTTGTATGCCATGCGGATCAGACCTTTGTATGCCATGCGGGTCAGACCTTTGTATGCCATGCGGATCAGACCTTTGTATGCCATGCGGGTCAGACCTTTGTATGCCATGCGGGTCAGACCTTTGTATGCCATGCGGGTCAGACCTTTGTATGCCATGCGGATCAGCACCAGGGCTAGACAAACTTGCTTGATTTCAGCAACCATCCATGATACTGCATGGCTGATGCATAGTGGTCTTTGAATGCAAGTTGGGTTCTAAGCCAGGATGATGGCCTTGCACATAATTGCACACATTAACCAGGGTGAGCGTGAGCCTTATACATTGTGCACAGTTGGCGCCAGAAAGAGGTGGTTGCTGAACCCAGGTGGTCACATGACCAGGTGATCACATGACCCGGCAGTAACATCACCAGGTGATCAGATGACCAGGCAGTAACATGACCAGGTAGTCACATGACCAGGTGGTTGCTGAATAGACACAGCCCGATTTTGCTTGCAATTCTGCTAGCAAAAATTAATATCGAAGAATTTTGACAAGGGAATTTGCTGGCCAAATGGAGCAAGATATCGGTATGTTCGCTGGAAGTTGGTAGATTTTACACTTATGCGGTGTACGTGACTCATTTTTGCAAACACTTGACTCACCTTTTCTCATTTTTGCTGACACGTGACCCACTTTCGGTCAGTTTTCCCACACGTGCCACAAATTTGGCCTCGCATTGGCGCAAAAAGGGAGCAAAATATCGAGTGGCCTGGCAAAATGAAAGCAAATTATCGACGATGAGCCTGCAAAGTGGTGTTGCAAAATATCGCAGCTTCACTGGCAAAATCAGGCTATGCCCATTGCTGAAACCAGGCGGTCAAATGACCAGGTCGTCACATGACGGGGGACCAGGTGGTTACCCTAGCCAATATTACCTGTCAGATCCTGTGCTCAGCATTAATTTTAACGTTTGTTGTTGCTTGCAGACTCACCACCGCAGTGGACGTCCAAGAACTTCTACTTTTCGCCAGCGCAGGGTCACATTCAAGTGGTTGAGGCAGAGTACACCTATGACAAGACCAACCAGCGCAAGAGCTGGCGGGAGCGTGACGCAGGCCCATCGGCCGAGCCAATCCATCGCATTGAGTTGGGTGCTGAGGTAAGCCAGGTGTGGACGGTGAACTTCTAGCAACTAACTCCCCTATTTTCCGGAGGATAAGCCGCATTTTGATTTTTGAACACACAAAATTCAACAAAAAGAAGGGGGTGTGGCTTATACTCCGATGATCAAATTAACGGTAATAAATCAGGGACGTCGGAAGGTATTCGACATTGGTGTGTCCATGAATGGGTGGAGGGTCGGGGTCCTCCCCAGGGAACATTTTAGGGAAATTGGGCCGAAATAGCCCATATTCCAAGATGAAACTATTGGTGCGGCTTTGGCCGCACCTGCCGCACCGGTTCCGACGCCCATGTAAATAGGGTAGATGTCTGTATTTCGTGGCAAAAAATGGGGGTGCAGATTAGGCCGTGATCCTTTGGGCGGATCCAGATCCGGATCCATAGGATCCACTGGATCTGCAGTGATCGATTGGTCGAATCCCGATCCAGATCCCTCGGATTTGGATCCGAGCAACCCTGCCCCAGGAGCATGGTTGACTGGATCCAACGGATCCAAGCATGTCGTTTGTACGTGTTTGGCGGGTAATCAATCATTGTTATACGCATTTAGTACACATACTCGTGGAAAAGCTTTGCACCATGCAGATGAGTACGACGAGTACGAACCTGGAGTAACTTTTCGAACATGGTTTATCTACCTCAGCATGGTCACGGTAGCAGTGTGTTCCTAATGTGATCGATTGATTCTGAGGGATCCAGTGGATCTGGGATCTGGATCTTGATCCGGATCCGACCAAACGATCACAGCCTTATACTCCAGTGCGGCTTTTATTCCGGAAAATATGTTAACTTTAAACCAGGGAAGTATTAAAATACTCAGACTCCCCTATTGAAATCAGGGGAGTGGTAACATACTACTCCCTTATTGAAACAGAGGAGCAGATGCATGGCCGGATGCATGCATGCTTGCATGTGTACATGCCAGTTGAATGTGGATTCGCCGCGGCAGGTGGACCAGCCATACCTTCCCCTTGTTTGAGTGTTCGTGGAATGGTATCACTGCAATGAATGTGTGCACATTGCACATTGCACAGGTACAGCTACTGTCGCGCTCGGTAAAATCCGACCCAACGTGCAAAACTGGCCCTGGACCAGTTCTGATTACATCACTGTGTATTTGTACATATCGTACATCCAGCCGCATTTATCAAGGGCCGTGCAAGTTGAGTGCAGTGCATGTGGAGCTGGAGGACACGAGTCGCAAAAAAAAGGGCCGTGCAGTGCATGTGGTGCTGGAGGACACAACGAGTCGCAAATTTAACGATTGTCCAAAATCCATACTGAGCATGTAGGTTAAAGGGGAAGTATACGGGCCCTCTAAAGTCAAATTTTCACCAGTTGTAGTCTTCGGGGTGCTGAGTTGAATGGTCTTGGTCCGAGGACGCTGAGACGCTCCCTTCCTCCTTTATCCCCAATCGAACTCGCGCACTTCCACCGAAACTGGGTGATCGCGCCCTACTAGATAAGGATTTGTATGGAAAAAGTCACTAAAAACGCCGTTTCGTTCTTATAAAAGCACGGATGACCGCGATTGGTCCATATGTTGTAGTCTTTTGGCCGCTGAGTCGACTGGTTTTGGTCCGAAAAGGCTGCGATGCAGCGTTCGGCCCTTATTCCCAATCGAACACGGTTGAGTAAGCGATCACGTGCTCATGCGTACACCAGTCGCCTGGTCACCGTGCCTGCAGTCTACAGTTTTCACATCAAGGTTCAACTCAAAGGTTCAAAGCAGGGAGTCGTGAGAGGCGTTTACGGCTCCCTGGTTCAAAGGTTCAACTCGGGTGACATAAACGGGCCCAAACAGGCTGTGAATGAGCACGTGACCGCTTACTCAACCGTGTTCGATTGGGAATAAGGGCCGAACGCTGCATCACAGCATTTTCGGACCAAAACCAGTCAACTCAGCGGCCAAAAGACTACAAAATATGGACCAATCGCGGTCATCCGCGCTTTTATAAGAACGAAACGGTGTTTTTAGTGACTTTTTCCATCCAAATCCCTATCTAGTAGGGCGCAGTCACCCACGGTTTCGGTTGAAGTGAGCCAGTTCAATTGGGAATAAAGGAGGAAGGGAGCGTCTCAGCTTCCTCGGACCAAGACCATTCGACTCAGCACCCCGAAGACTACAACTGGTGAAAATTTAATTTTAGGGTATACTTCCCCTTTAAAACAGGAAGATACGCTGAGGAACTTATAATAACGAAGAAATGCTGAAGCCTAAAACGTTAGATTTAGTTCCTCGTTCTATTTACATGTCTTGCAGCATGTGTATACAACGGTGTCGCATACTGTACATGTAGCTGATAATATATCTCTGCACGGTGATGCCACCTAAACGGCAGGAGTCAGCGTTGCAGTGCACTCACACAACACGTTGCACACTTCTGTCCATTCTTCTTACTGCAGAGAATTGAGTACGTTATCAACGAACGTACTGGCGCCTGCATTGCATACCCTCTGAGGTTTCCATTCTATGCTCACGATGTCCCAGTCAATGCTCAATTCAGCGGGCTCTTCTATGTTGGAAGTGATGCCGAGACTGAGGTCAGTAATACTGGTAGCTATACATGTACATGTGTCCCTATGATTATCAGATATCATGGTCTTGTGGCGATTAACGTTATGATTGTGTCTACTGCCAAGTGTATAGTGGATACCAGCACTATCATCCCCTGCACTCCAGACTCGGTCCAGACCAGTAACCAGTAAACTTTATTTCTCTCTTTAACCTTCTCTCCCTCCCTCACACACACACACACACACACACACACACACACACACACACACACACACACACACACACACACACACACGCACACACACACACACACACACACACACACACACACACGCACACACACACGCACACATGCACGCACACACACACACCTGTTGGACAGGGAGTCTCTCCACATCCAAGCCTATGCCATTGCTGTGACAGTTGTCACAGTACTGCCAAAGAATCATGTTTTAGTATATGTTTTTAATGAATGCAACTCAGGCACACCTTTGTGGGGTTTTCCCTATATGTGTGGGACTTGCAGGGTTCTGTGGAGCTGTCTTCATGGAATGCCCGCCTTACCGGATCATACTGGGATGGATCATTCACCTCCCATGGCTGCATCCCGTACCATAGCAACCACTACAATGCCTCCACCTTCGGAATTCGTTTCGAGTCGTAAGTCAAGTATTATTATAGCTGATTATCTGTAGACTGACTAGCGGGAATGATGCTTAGGAGTTATTATTCTGTGCCAGGCCAAGTAAATAGAAAAAGTTTATGGTTCGCATGAGACTTGGTCAGAGCGACTTCTCCGCACCCGTAGAAACGCCACCGTATCCTTAAAGGGGAAGTTAAGGCAAAAATCAAAATTTCACCAGTTGTAGTCTTCGGGGTGCTGAGTCGAATGGTCTTGGTCCGAGGAAGCTGAGACGCTCCCTTCCTACTTGAATCCCAATCGAACTCGCGCACTTCCACCGAAACTGGGTGACTGCGCCCTACGAGATGGGGATTTGTATGCAAAATGTCACTAAAAGCGCCATTTCGTTCTTATAAAAGCACGGATGACCGCGATTGGCCCATATGTTGTAGTCTTTTGGACGCTGAGTCGATTGGTTTTGGTCCGAAAAGGCTGCGATGCAGCGTTCCTCCTTTATTCCCAATCGAACATGGTTGAACAAGCGGTCACGTGCTCCTGCGTACACCAGTCACTTGGTCACCGTGCCTGCAGGGTACAACTTACTAGCCTGTTTGACCTTTTTTGGGTGCAGTCCTGTCACTCGAGTTGAACTCGAGTTGAACCTTGGTGTGAAAGTTGTCGCCTGCTGGCGTGGTGACCAGGTGATTTGGGCACCCAGGAGCACGTGACCGCTTGTTCAACCATGTTCGATTGGGAATAAAGGAGGAACGCTGCATCGCAGCCTTTTCGGACCAAAACCAGTCGACTCAGCGTCCAAAAGACTACAACATATGGGCCAATCGCGGTCATCCGTGCTTTTATTAGAACGAAATGGCGCTTTTAGTGACATTTTGCATACAAATCCCCATCTCGTAGGGCGTAGTCACCCAGTTTCGGTGGAAGTGCGCGAGTTCGATTGGGATTCAAGTAGGAAGGGAGCGTCTCAGCTTCCTCGGACCAAGACCATTCGACTCAGCACCCCGAAGACTACAACTGGTGAAATTTTAATTTTTGCCTTAACTTCCCCTTTAACTCAAGGATCAATGCGCTGATGCCGCTCCAAAAGCGATGGCCCTGCATACATGTACATGTACATGCACGGTTGTCAAAGGTCCTCAGGCTGTGTATAGTGCTCTATGTCCAGTGGACAGAGCCAGAAATACAATGACCACACAGCAATGAAGCAAATAAATCTTCATTGCTGTGTGATCATTGTACATGTACATACCTAATACATGCCGAGTCTGCCATGCACATATATACAATGTACATGTATAATATTGCTAATAGGGAAAGGGAAGGAACATATGGATACGAGCTGAGACTAACTGTCCACCACTGTAACTAGATACTATATACAGTCAGAAAGAGCAAGGACCAGGCGATTGTTACTGGACGGTGATGAGACCAGTAAGATACTTGACAAAGCGGTCTAACTAAAATTCAAACCAGCAAGGAGGCACACCACCCAACCCCTAGAGCTGAGTAGGAATTCAGTTTTTTTTGATTTTCACACATCATCAAGGAATACATGTAGTATTATTTACTTTTGGGTGATAAATATGGTGGTAAAGACACTGTGACATTATTTACTTTACAATCAAATATGTCCTGTACATGCACATCCCACTGTCACTAATGAACTCATGAACTTGTGAACTTTGAACCAGGAGTATTTTCATACTCCCTTCTTTGAAAAGAATTCGGGTGGACACACCCATTCCCTTCTTTGAATCCATGAAATCTGACACTGAACATCAGTCTAAGCGGCAATGTGTGTTGTAGTGGTATACAACACTGCACTGGTGGTAGCTAGAATACTCTTAGCGGCTACATGTAGCCGGGGAAAGGAACTAACCGGTTACTTACTTACAAGCAGTAGACTCCACTACCCTAAATACCGGCACCAGAGCAACCCTGTCACTGCAAACCCTTCTGTGGTGTGACGTTGGGGTAGGGCAGATACGTGTAGGGCTCGGACTTCTCCACCCAGCTGTAGAATATGTCCTGGGTCGGGCAGTTATTACACACTCATGCAGCGTAGACTAGGCACGGGTTAAGCCCTTGCATCATGGGCTGCTTGATCCCCAGCTCTGACAAAAGGTGTGACACATACACGTTCAAGCACAGCACACTTGTAAGAAGGTCCTGTACCAGTGCAGTACATCATATGCAGCAGTCCTTTTCCAGCAAGAATCAATTATTTTTACCTTGATGACCATTCCTTCTCAATGCCCGGTGCTGCTTCTGCTTTTCTGCTGCCATTCCCTCTCTCTCTCTCTCTCTCTCTCTCTCTCTCTCTCTCTCTCTCTCTCTCTCTCTCTCTCTCTCTCTCTCTCTCTCTCTCTCTCTCTCTCTCCCCAACTTCCGATATAGAATTGTCGATGTCAGCCCCGGAATCGACCCAAATGACTTCATCCCTCCGGCAAGCTGTCACCACGCAGCTGAGGAGCTGAGACTGAAGAAGTAGACGCACTGATATGAATACTACATACTACCGGCGGCGGCGTCACAATCACCGCAGTACGGGCAGCTACACATGCTGCCTGCTCAGTGGTCGATATCACACAGCCTGACACAGCCTGACACAGCCTGACAGGGGAATTCATACCCGCCTAGCACCCTGGCCAAACGTTATGTCTTGTACACACTTGAGCACTCATGCCCATTTGCTTGTCATCTTCTCTTCTTCTCAGTGACTGTACAAGCAGTAGCAATGGCAATGTTGTTTTGCCTGCAGACAGTGTCACTTCATTCCCCTCCTGATTCTTTTGTACCATGACTAGTTTCCAGGAAAGTGTCTCATTCTTTCTCCCTTGCTCTTTATCCCGGCGATAAAACGTTTTGTGTCTCCTGAATACTGATATTAAATGTCCATTGTCACCGTGGCCTATTTGCCTGTGTGATCCAGTGTGGTATTGGTGTTGGTGTTGGTGTGTGTGTGTGTGGGGGGGGGGGGGGGGGGGGGGCAACATACCTTGTGTGCGTGCCGGCCTGTCAGAGAGTTATAACCAAATAGGTTGGAAGTATTTAAGTTAGTAAACAGAGTCTATGACTTTCCTCGTACTTGTCCTGGAGGTGTGGAGTTCCGTAACATTTTGCAACAAATGCATTTACATGTACTTGGGAGAGGATCTCGTTCACATCCAGGTGGACTGAGTCACGGCATGCAGTTTCCTTCAGACTTTTCCTTTTTCAAGAGTCATCCAACTGGTGAATGCTTATAGCGGTCGTGTAAACAGTATCTCCGTCACATTTCAACAGCATTGAGGAGCATAGTAGATCTACTCTGCACCCTGGTTGGGCGAAATGATTCCGACCCAGTCTCTGATATCGACAGTAATTAATTATTTCTTCCCCACACGGAAGTACTAATAAACACTCGGAACTGAAGTGAATGTCACTGTGCTGCAGTGTGCAACTGTGCATGTGTTTCACAGTGCGACACTGTGGACGTGCCATCACCAGATCACCCCACTCAGCAAGGGGACAGCATTGGGCCATTTGGGGAATGGCCACTACATCCACTTTTGGATTATTACTCATTATCACGGTGTGTGCGTGCGAAAACGCCGCACGCGAGCTTTCGACTTGTTCTTCGCTAGGGGCGGCAGTAGGGCCTACTACTAGTACTACTAGTAGTAGTACTACAGAGCCTAGGCTAGGCCTAGCTACCCTCGGCCCACTGACACTGACGTCCCCAGCGATCTGCTGCAGCATCATGATAATCATGATAATGAGCCCAGGCCAGGCTCGAGCTTTGTGACACACATAACACTAAAACCACACGTGAACTGACCATCGACCATGGCCATGAACGATGCAATGATCGATCGACGTGACATGTACGTATTGGACCAGATGGATAGGCGCTAGGCACCATGCATGCGGCTGAGCAACTCACATGCACGCGACACTTCTGTCTACTGATATATGCACGAGTATTTTTGCGTTCTGTCCTTGTACTTGTAGAGTACAGTAACTCTATCTGGGCAGTTCGTTTTTAGGGTCCTAGAATAATAGCTAGTACTAGTAGTAGCCTACATGTACATGTAGATCCTGTGCATGAATGTGTTGAAAAGACTTTTTTTAGTTTGTTACTGTCTACTTGGTGAGAAAAGGAGGTGATCCCTTGCTTGCTTTATACTCATGTAGTCCTTCAGCTGTCGTTATTTTCAGTTTTAAATATCTCTCTCAGTGGGGATTGAATTCTTCGGTAGTGTTTGCGGGCAAACAAACAACAGGTCGGTAATGCTCGCTACAACTCACTGCAAGTCGACCTACAGACTACAGTCTAGCTGATCCACACCCTTGTCCGATGGCGTGAAGATAGCAGCTGCTACGTTCTGTCCGCTAGTTTTGTGTAATCTCCACCTTGTCCGGGTTTTTTTAGCATGGCTGATGTAGCCGGAGCTCGTGATGGATTTGTGGCCATTCCTGGCGGGCTGGTGATAGATGGCAAACCAGTCAAGTTTGTCAGTCCGCCACTGGAGTCGCAGCTTTGCTTGTTCTGCAAGGGAGTTCTCCAGGATCCGGTCTTGTCCATTCGCTGCGGCCACACGTTCTGCAGGGCGTGCTGCAACAAGCGAATGGTCAACGACTCCGGCAAATGTCCCGTCGAAGAAACACCATTCAGCAGCGAGTCCCTCGTTGTCAATGTAGCTCTGGCAAGCCAGATCGGCAGCCTGCTCGTTTACTGTCGCTACGGTGTTCGTAATGATGAGGTTCGAGGGGAATGGTCACTGGACGAAAACGGCTGCCCGCAAACCGTTCGCTTCAGCGGTCGGAACGAGCACGAAGCGGCGTGTGACTTCGCCAAGCTACCGTGTCCTCATGACGAGGCGAGGTGCGGTAATTTTCGTCGGAAAATGCTACAGAGCCACATCGAGAATTGTCCCAATACGCCATGCCCGAATGCAGAGCAGGGTAAGGGTGAGACTGGCATATGTAGAGTTTGAAACAAATACTTGGGTGGATACCTCCAATAGCCACAAGACACAATTATTTGTTGTTCAAGATAGATATCGGCCAAGTGGAAAATGAAAAAAGGGCGACCGAGCCAGTGTACGCACGTGTGCGTGTGTGTGTGTGTGTGTGTGTGTGTGTGTGTGTGTGTGTGTGTGTGTGTGTGTGTGTGTGTGTGTGTGTGTGTGTGTGTGTGAAGAAGAGGTGGCGAGATGTGGTGTCGACTGACCTGGCGGACCTCGGCGTGACCACCTGGCTTGAGAGTTGCCAAGATCGTCCCGGCTGGAGACGAGTTGTGAGTAGCACTCCGCCGCCACAGCCCGCTCCTGATCCTCTTCTCTGTGTCTGTGGACGCCCGTTTCGTCGACCATGATACCTGAAACAACATGCCAAGTTCTGCGCTCGTGTTCTCACTTGAACTTTCCGACATTCGCTATCATTGCGTACGCAATGGGCAAGATCAAGGCCAAGGTGTGTGTGTGTGTGTGTGTGTGTGTGTGTGTATGCGCGTGCATGCTTGTGTGTGGGTGTGGTGGTGGTGGGGGGTGGGGGTGGTATGTGCAGGCAATTTCCCATTGAGAGATTGCGAGTTCGATTTCCAACGATCATGATTGTGTGTGTGCTGCACTCCGCTGTGCGATGCTACTGGTTTGAGCAGGCTGCAGGTTTCGCGGGGATCCGGAGAGCGTTGCACAGCATCATCGCATCTGCAGCTTGTCATTGGAGCTGAACAGCGCTGAAAAGGTAGGTTGTACATGGTTATGGTGGCTAATGTACCTATGCACAAATACATGGCCAGGTGTCGAATATCCTCGGATTGTTTGGAATGGTCCATGCCCGGTGGACAGACCTAGCATATAGAGGTTCATGGGAATAGTACACTGAACCAAGTCTCTTCCGGGCTAGAGTTCAGCAGAGTTTTGTGAAACATTACTGAGCAGTCGTTGTGCAGTCACACTATGTGTGTACTGTCAACTTGGCTTATAACCACACTCGGTCACTCGGTGGGGCATCAAAAAAAGTGTCCTTATTGGCGAAGTGTCGTTATACCCGAAGTCTCATTATATGTATTACAGTTGGAAGGGATTTTGCTCTGGGCATGGAAATGCTGTCGTTATTCGCGAATTGTCGTTATATCCGCAGTCGTTATTAGCGAAGTTGACTGTATATGAGATGGGTGTGTGTGTGCATGTGTGTGTGTGTGTATGTGTGTGCGTGTGTGTGTGTGTATATATGTGTGTGTGTGTGTCTACGTGCGTGTGTATGTGTATGTGACACTATGTGTGTATGTGTGCGTGTGTGTGTGTGTGTGTATGTGCACCCGTAGGTGAAAGACGCACTGAGCAAGCTGCTGGAGAACCACCATGAGCTGCAGGGTAAACATGACCAGCTGAAGAGGGAGTTTGACGCTCGACTGGCCCAGCAGCGCGAAGAGCGGCAGCAGTGGCAGCAAGAGAGGAAGAACATTCTGAGCAGGCTGGATGAGACTCGTGACGAACTGCAGAGAGTATCGGAGCACTGCGGTGAACTAGAGCGGTAAGTACAGATAGTAGTACTACTGCACCGATGATGTACATGAACAAGACTGTACTCCTACCGTCTGTAACAATCACGAGTTGAAGGTTAACAGTGGGACTTGAGCGACAACTCTCACTCCATGTAGGGAAACTTTGAGCCTTGTCGTGTTGCCACTGGGTTATATGACCATGACAATCGCATGCAACAAGATGGAACTATGGTATGAGTACACACTGTTTGTACATACCCTACGAGCAGTGCTGTATTTACTAGGTCTACTTGTCATTTTGGCGGAAGAAAAACGAAGGCAAGTGGGGTGTATGTACAATGAATAACCCACTGAGGAATGGCACACTGGGTTGCAGGGAAGCTAAGTTCAACAGTTGGGGTATTTAAAATTCCTACTACTAGTACCTGCATGCACCCCGGTGCTGGCTGTGATTGTAAGAGTGCTCTGACGTATTGTACGTGTACCGCACATGCACTGAAGTAACTGATTGTGTATTCTTGTGTATGTGTCCATAACACGTATAAGTATCAGCCTGTTTTATTAACCTGATTGCTTTTTCCCATACCTTGTGCTGCGGCTGCTGCTGTTCTGCTTAGGCGGCTAGAGAGCGTCGTGAAGACCCTGCCCCAGGGATATCGGATGCGTAACCGCGATAGCACCTCTAGCGTGGCGGCGCTAGTGGAGAATGGCGGCTATGGAACCAGCCCCAGCCTGGCACATCGGTCTCTGCTAGAGGAAGCCCCGGCTACATCAACAGTGACCAGGACACCGTCAAACCCGAAGCCAGAACGGTGAGACACGTGAATACTCTGCTGCCGGTCATTTCTGTAATTAGACAGGCGTGTAGCCCGCATGGGGTACGGGGGGGGGGGGGGGGTACGTCTCCTCAGAGTTCTACTGCATGATGTCATTGTGATCTCGTTGGCAAGTGTCAGCTAAGATGACTGACATATATTTTACGATTTCTCTGGACTAGTTTTTTCACTGCTCGCAACAGCTGTTCTTAAAAAAACTTACGGTTCGCGTGAGACTCGGCTGGAGGCCAATTTTCGCGCATCCGTATGAACGCCACCACCCTCTATGGATCTGTTCTTATGTTTACGGAAATCGTGTTGCTTTGTGTGCAGGAATCGTGCCAGTGCCCTTGCAGCAAGACCTACTAATCTCATTGTGTCTTGGGAGCATCAGATGCCATTCAAGTTCAAATGCATCGGAACTTTCAAGTATGTACAATCATCATATTTCTATAATAAAATATTTTTACGGTCCTCTCTTTCCTACCCTTAGAGTTTCTTGCTCTCCTGCTCCCCTCCCCGCCCTTCCACTCCCCATTTTGTTTCCTTTGGTGCACATGTGCAGCTGTGATGCCGAGACCCTTGGTCAGCTGAGCTTCACAGGTCCCACCCACTCCGTCCTGCTGGATATGTACCATTGTGTCGAGTTCTTCTCCTCATTTTAGTTCATCATGCAGTGAGTGTTCAATAGTAAAAAAAAAAAAAAAAAAAAAAAAAAAAAAAAAAAAACGGTACATACCACATAACATACTAACCATTGGAAGCTGTACATACAAACACACAACGCACATGCCAATGGAAGGCACGTATACATGTATGTGTGGCTGTCAAAGTCTCGTGCAAAGTAGGTCTGGTGTATCCTACCATTATCCAGCGTGAATTTGCAGAGTCAGTGATAATGTCTTGAAGGTCTATCATTTTTCACTGTCTGGCCGGATGGCTGACTTACTTTCTGTGCATATGTGTGTCTTGCTAATCCCATACACAGAGGTCACCAGCACACGGTATGGAAGCTGATCTCACATGGCTCAACTCTGTACAGTGCTGATGGCAGTGGTACCATCAAAGTCTGGGACATGAACAACTTGCTGCGTGGCTGTGTGCATACCATACCTGTGGCACATTCAGAAGCTGTAAGTCCAGTGCATCATGGTGTTCACATACAGAGCAACTGTACACTACTAGTAACCAGTTACCCGGGCTGCATCTATTGTAGCGGCTTGTATGTAGGATTGTACCAGGGCACGCCGTGGACCAATTTAATATCTATAGATACTGTTAACATGAATTGGCTGCAGTGGAGTCTGCACACTCTGAAAAAGGTTTTTTATAGATATCGTCAGATGTTGTGTCTCCCCAAGCCTGTAGTCTTCTAGATGCTGAATCAAATGGTCTAGGTCATGGTGCACCATTTGTCAGATACTCCCACCAAACCCATTGCAGCCGTATTCCGGAGCTCCAGGTAGTGATGCACTGCAGAAGGATGCTGCAAAGCACCCCGTGGGTTCTAGTGTATAACGCCGCACTTTGTGGGAGCACTTCTTATTGGGTTGTGCTGTATCGCAGCTTCTTCGGACCAAAACCATTCAATACACCATGCAGGGGACTACAATCAACTTCGCTAATAACGACTGCGGATATAACGACAATTCGCGAATAACGACCGAATTTTCATGCCCAGAGCAAAGTCCCATCCAACTGTAACACATAGTAATGAGACTTCGGGTATAACGACACTTCACGAATAAGGACACGTTTCTGATGCCCCGCCGAGTGTCGTTATAAGCGAAGTTGACTGTACACATCCTTCCATGCAATGCTGTCCATTGGTAGTCACCTCATCTATTGTTGTGTGCTTGTTTCGTTTGGTCACATGTGTTGGGTTGGTCAGATCCTGGCAATGGCAACGAATGGTGAGTTCTTGTTCACCGCTGGCTCAGACCTGAGTATCATAGGCTGGGACTGCAAGAGTCTCAAGAAAGTCTCATCGGCTAAGGTTGGTTACGGGAGCAATTGCTCTGTGGAATCATCAGATTTGTATAACATGACTGATAGAATGTTTTACGTTTGTCTTGGTCACTGTTGGGCCTTGGATGGAGGACTACACCAGTACATGTAGCTGATGTAATAGAAGGTTTGCCTTAAATCAATACCAGTTTAGACTCCAGAGTATGGTGTGTGTGTGTGTGTGTGTGTGTGTGTGTGTGTGTGTGTGTGTGTGTGTGTGTGTGTGTGTGTGTGTGTGCACGGGTGCGCAGTGACTATGCACTCAACTGAGTGTGACACACTCTATCAGCTATGGATCCCACAGCCTCTGGCAGCTCTATGGCAGTGCTTGGGCTTGGCAAGTTCCAAATGTTCCTTTTGTTCTGTTTGGTATCTAGGCTCACATTCCTCGCCTGGTGTGGTGTTTTGGTGTACGGATGCGCTGTGTGCATAATGTGTACAGGGTGATATTGACTGATGTGTTGTGTACATAATGTGTACAGGGTGATATTGACTGATGTGTTGTGCATATGCTGTCGTGTACAGGATGCGCATGATGATGATATTGACTGCTTGGAAATTATCGGTGACTTTCTGTTCAGCACGTCACACAGCAAGATAAAGGTAAGACCACCTTTACTTAGTTTTGTTCCGAAGACACACTAACCTGGGTACACACTAACTTGGGTACACACTAACTTGGGTACACACTAACTTGGGTACACACTAACTTGGGTACACACTAACTTGGGAACACACTAACTTGGGTACACACTAACTTGGGTACACACTAACCTGGGTACACACTAACCTGGGTACACACTAACTTGGGAACACACTAACTTGGGTACACACTAACTTGGGAACACACTAACTTGGGTACACACTAACTTGGGTACACACTAACTTGGGTGCACACTAACTTGGGAACACACTAACTTGGGAACACACTAACCTGGGTACACACTAACTTGGGAACACACTAACTTGGGAACACACTAACTTGGGAACACACTAACTTGGGTACACACTAACTTGGGAACACACTAACTTGGGTACACACTAACTTGGGTACACACTAACCTGGGTACACACTAACCTGGGTACACACTAACTTGGGAACACACTAACTTGGGTACACACTAACTTGGGAACACACTAACTTGGGTACACACTAACTTGGGTACACACTAACTTGGGTGCACACTAACTTGGGAACACACTAACTTGGGAACACACTAACCTGGGTACACACTAACTTGGGTACACACTAACCTGGGTACACACTAACCTGGGTACACACTAACTTGGGAACACACTAACTTGGGTACACACTAACTTGGGAACACACTAACTTGGGTACACACTAACTTGGGTACACACTAACTTGGGTACACACTAACTTGGGTACACACTAACTTGGGAACACACTAACTTGGGAACACACTAACTTGGGGACACACTAACTTGGGTACACACTAACTTGGGTACACACTAACTTGGGAACACACTAACTTGGGAACACACTAACTTGATATAACGACAGGACCCAACGCAGGTACACGTATTGACAGGAGGCAAACCGTGTTAATCATGACACATTGTGCATGTACCAGGTTTTTACAATGTTGTGATGGTCCTTTTGGTTACGTTGCTACAGTACATGTAGACATGTAAGTTACAGCTGTGCTCGGTGAGATAAGACCCAAAGTGCATCTGGCGCCTTCAACTTGCACTGTCACAAGTTTTGACACCCTGGAAGTGGTATGTTTTTGACGCCCTGGAAGTGGTATGTTTTTGACGTCCTGGAAGTGGTATGTTTTTGACGCCCTGGAAGTGGTATGTTTTTGACGCCCTGGAAGTGGTATGGCTGGAAGTGGTATGGAATGGATGAGGCTGAACGTACACCTGTACAGGTTCAGCAATGTATTCGGAACTTGTTCAGGGACTGGGAGCGAGTTTTGCACCGGCTTGGGCTGGATTTCAGTGAGGGGAAACTGTACTGTTGAAGTATTTGAAGTATGGGCTTCACTTACATGCAAGCTATTGATCCATCATGTTCAGCAGCCAGGACACGGGAAGCTTGACCGCTAAACTACTACTACTAGTTGCAGTGGTTGACATGATGCTATGAAGGTACTGCATTCGTCATATGCTCTTCATGCTGCCACTGTGTGTGTGTGTGTGTGTTTGTGTGCGCACGCGTGTGTGTGTGTGTGTGTGTGCATGTGTGTGTATGTATGTGTGCGTGTGTGTGTATGTCTGTGTGTGTATGTCCGTATGTATGGGTGTGTGTGTATGTCCGTGTGTACGGGCGTGTGTGTATGTGCGTGCGTGTGTGTGCATGCGTATGTGTGCGTGTGCGTCTGTGTGTGTGTGTTACTATTCGTGGACAGGTTTGGGATATTCATAGTCTGCAACACAAGCACACTATGCAGGGCTTACATCACCGAGTCAGAGCATTGGTCTACGACAGGAAACGGGTAAGTCCGCAGGCATTGCAGTGGAGTCCCACAGTGCAACACTTTTGTTTGAAGAAGTCATTGGTAAGCAAGGCAAGGTCTGTGTGTGACATTAGCACCAGTGGACTCTATTGCATAGCCTAGATATACTGTATGTTCCACTATCAGTCCCTTGCTGCTATTTCTTATCATATCAGTCTGCTAACAGATCCTCAGTGCTGGTATTCTTGACCCTGCTTACCGTATCCTACTATGTGTGCGGTGGATTCAGTGGATAGCTGGATTTATGATGGTGTGTGTGTGTGTGTGTGTGTGTGTGTGTGTGTGTGTGTGTGTGTGTATGTGTGTGTGTTTGTTGTACGGTGATCAACTGCATGCGGCAGGAGCGGTTGTACAGTGGCTCTCACAACGTTATACACGTATGGGATGCAGTAGAGCCGTTCAGTCTTCTTGCACGCATTGACACCAAGTTTGGATCCATCTTCAGCCTTGTCATAACAAAGAAGTACCTAGCAACAGGTCAGTCGCAAACCGAAGGCCACGTATTTGATGGGCACTGTATTGAGAATGTTCTCCATTCTGATCCAATGCTGTGTGTGTGTAATGTACGTTGATGGGTAAGTTAGAAAAAATGTTTTCGCTTTGCGGCCTTGCTCCTGTAAGTAGATCTGTGCTTAGAGGCAAGGAAGGACCTAGTGAAAGTGCATGTGCGATGTACAGGTAATCTTGCCATTCTCATCACCACCACCAGTGCTATGATGAATGAGCGATATGATTACCCTGTGCTTTTCCAGGTACATACAACCGTAACGTTCATCTGTATGACATCGAGACACATGAATACATACATGCTCTCAGTGGTCACCTGGGAGCGGTGGCTACAATGGGACGCTCACCGACTGGCAGCTTCTTGGTCACAGGATCCCATGACAGCACTCTTCAGGTATGTGTGTGTGTGTGCGTGTGTGCGTGCGCGCGCGCGTGTGTGTGTGTGTGTGTGTGTGTGTGTGTGTGTGTGTGTGTGTGTGTGTGTGTGTGTGTGCAGGTTGTGTTAGTGGTGTGTGGCACGATGGACTGATACCTTATGGCGTATCATTTTAAGTATGCCGTCTGTGTGGGATGATTGGTGTCAAGCTATCAGTTGGTGTCCAGCCGTGATAACGTTATTGACCTATACCTACATCATGTGGTGGTTTGCCGGCCCAAGGTACATGTACACGTGTGGGTCATGCTCTGATGTATGTGAAGTGATTGCCAAGGCATATACTTATAGTGCATCGGTGGATAGTGGCATGTAGGAGATCACCGAGTACATGTAGTATTATAGTGTACATGGTAACCTTATTGGGCTCTCTGTTCACTCTCTGCTCACTCTCTGCTCACTCTCTGCTCACTCTCTGCTCACTCTCTGTTCTTCTCTTCTTGTTGTATGTGTAGGTCTGGGACTTGGAAAAGGCTTTACCGTATCAGATTCTTCAAAGACACGAGTCTTGTGTGAACACAATCCTTGTCCGTAGCGACCTGTTGTTCAGCGGATCAGATGACAAGGAGATCAAAGTAAGCAGACATGGTGGCAACTGAACAAGCACAAGAAAGAGTTCGTCCCCTCCACTCCTCCTCCCGTTCAAAAGTGTCGCATCCCTGGCTCACAGTGACCGGACCCCGAAATCACTACGAGCGGCGACTGAATATAGACGTGTGGCCTCACGACAAGCCCAACACAACCCAGGGGCCAACCAATATAGCTGGCTTGGTCCAAGTTCAACCCCACACCGTATCAACAGACAAAGACTGTTAGTTTTACGTTGTGAGTAGTATCAAATCCGAGCTCAAAGTAAACGAAGACAGAGAGCTGAGCTGAGACCGAGTCTCGACTGCTAGACTAGACTAGACTGAAGTAAAAGAGAGAATGAGAGCTTCTTTTATAGGGTGCTTCAGAGATATATGGCGTGATCATTGCGAGGTAATTCCAGGAAATAGCAGAACAAGTCAAACCGGAATGTGCGCAGCCAGTCAGCAGAAATGCAGAATATACGTACGGTGATCATTCGAGAAGAAAGAGAAAGAAAGACATCGAGAGAAGAAAGACCAAATTGGGACGTGGGGAGCCCGCTCACCCACGTCAGAGTACAAGATTATGTGAGTATATGAGGGTCACGTTGGGGAGCCCGCTCACCCAACGTGCCATAGTTCAGTGGCTTCTTATGGTAAGTTCTGCTGCATTATTGGTCTTGCTTGCTTGATACTCTGACCTCTCGTGCGGCCACTGCGGTGACGGTTTTGGTTCTTGCCGTGACACGTCTTGGCTCTGCACTCTTTGCACTTAGCTCGGTTGGTTAGTCTTGGCTCTTTGCACAAAGCACCGAGGCATCGTGGAAACCTGTAGAACATCGTAGTGACGTGGTTTTGCACAAAGCCTGGAGTCCCATTTCCAGGAAGTGAAGCACTTCCAGGAAACGTACAACGCGAGAACCTACCTGACCAGGTTCCGGCCTTGGATCACATGATGTGTCATGCCAAGAAGGCATGTCACCTACGTGGGAAAGCGCGTGTCGCTCAACCTACATGCTAAGCAGCACGTGGGACAAGACACTGGCCAAACCACGTTGTACTAAAAGGCGTGACAGCTCAGCACAGAGCTGCTCACTACGTAGATCCTGCTGTGACAGGACTATCAGGCAGCAGTTGTCTTATCCTGGGACGTGACAAGAGCGTGCATATCGACCTTGGTTGGCTGCCTGTCCAGTTCAATACAGTGAATCGTGTCTTTGCCACGACTCATGATCTTCTTTGGCTACTCCTAATGCATGTATATGTTGCACTGCTTCTCGGATGCTCCTCCAGGTGTTCAAACTCTTCCGCCAGCAAGATTACAGTGCAAGCTAGTACTCCGGGGCAGTATGAAGCTGACCAACATTGACAGCCGCATGACTCCGCAGTCTCAGTGCCTTCCACACAGTATTCAGTGCTGCTAGGATCAAGCTGTTGTTTGCACACCATCACCAGCGGTCGTGTCCGCAGGCACCAACAAGCGGTGTATCACTGAGCTGAACGAAATCAGGACTCTGATCTGTATGTCAAAAGTGTGGACCAATTGTCCATATTTTCGGCGACACCAGCCTAGGACCCGTTTTGTGTTCTTGTTGATTGTTTTTTAGAGCAAACTACAAGTAAGTAATGGACAACTTGTAAACTTATGGTCCTCTCTTCTTTTTTAATTTTTTTTAAATACAGGTAAGTTGTGAGACATTGCTATAACACAGCATCACTGGAATTCCTCTGGCACTATATAACTGTGGCACTGCATTGCTGTGGCACTGCATTGCTGTGGCACTGCATTGCTGTGGCACTGCATTGCTGTGGCACTGCATTGCTGTGGCACTGCATTGCTGTGGCACTGCATTGCTGTGGCACTGCATTGCTGTGGCACTGCATTGCTGTGGCACTGCATTGCTGTGGCACTGCAATGCTGTGGCACTGCATTGCTGTGGCACTGCATTGCTGTGGCACTGCATTGCTGTGGCACTGCATTGCTGTGGCACTGCATTGCTGTGGCACTGCATTGCTGTGGCACTGCATTGCTGTGGCACTGCATTGCTGTGGCACTGCATTGCTGTGGTGTTGCCACTTGATTGCCTCACAGTCCCAGTACTCAGTATTACTATTGGTAGAGTGCGGGCACATCTGCCACATCATTAGACTCTCTAGTGTAGGTAAGGCTAAGTTATCAGGTAGCTTGAGAGTACGTGACTGACTATTGAACCTTTGTGCACCATTCTGTGATTTTATGATTTCACAATATTCAGTATTTGATACGAGATGACTCCGGCCGTTGATATCAGAATCATCCCTGGGTTGTTTTCATGAATATCATGTCGCCCTGCACCGGGTTGGGTCACACTGGAGTGATTGAGTGATAGTTATCAGGAGTTGCCGGCTATGGATTGGTTGCCCTACCATTTCCGGGGTTGAATCACACTGGAGTGATTGAGTGATATCAGGAGTTGGCTATGGTTGTCCTACACATGCGGCATTGCCCACCCAAATAGAATAGAAAGCACGCGGTTGGAGCACGGCTTTCCGACAAACTCCTGAGCATCAACCCACCCGGAATCTGCTGGTGCTGATAGACCCTGCTTTAGTCAGAGCCATATGGCAGAAAATGTAGAATATATTGCTATAATATAGAATATTATGTATGATTATGATAAAATCTGCTGTGTGGCTTGAAGCTGAATTGAATAATCTGAGCAGTTAGTTACTAGTACATGGACATGATGATGTTCGTACTACGTAGCATCCAAACAGGTGCATTGAAGTAGTTGTAGGTAAGCCTTTGTTAGGACTGTGTGTTTGAGTCGGAAATAATTGGGAGGGCATTTTTGCCATTTTACCTATTCTATAATCGATCAAATCCATCTGTTGATATTTTTTTTTAAAGAACAATCACGTTCCCAAAATATTCATAAGGTTGAGGGAGTTCCCAAGTATGTAGGTTTGCAACGGACAACCAAAGCTATCATGCCACCGAAGCACTCGTGGCCAGCGCCTCGCAGGCAGCACGCAACGCCGGTTGTCATAGTCCCCAAATGGCGCCTCCTTGGGTCTCGCGGCCTTGCCGGCAAAGAACAACAGTGAGACCTTTCTATGCAAACAGATTTGTTTGAGCACCGTGGCTTGCAATACCAGCCTTCCAAACCCGAGAAGATGTCATAAAATTATAATGTTTCTACCATTGGGCGTATGTTGCTTGTTTCTGTTGTTTTTGTATACTCCGATATACTATGAGTAGTGATACATGTACTTCAATGTAGTATAGTGGAGCTACAGCACATTCATCCGGGATGGTGCCTTGTTCAGCACAAGGGCCCAGTCGCGGCGCTGCACAGTGCATGGCACACACTCAGCGGCTGAATGCCGGTTCAATGACCAGCTTAGCGCTTGAAATGGGTCTCGGCTTCCTCGACCATAGTTTCCACCTGGACATCATAGAAATAGCACAACCCGTACCGGTACAAGAGGGGAAGAATGAGAAGAAATCACTTTGCTTCAGACAGTACATGCGCTACTAGTATGCACTTCAAGTTGAGACACAGTAATACCTATTTGGTATTCTATCCTTACCAAGTACGCTGCCACATACCAAGACTACACTACAATTCAAGTCCAATTAATATTTGAACGTTCACTGCGTCGCACCTTGAATTAGGTTGCACCATTACAAAGCATGCACTATTAAACATTGGTTCTACCCTTCAGGGTATCAATGATTGCTTGTCATGCAGCGAATGCATCAGGGTTGGATTTTACTGGCTGGCTCAGTACCGTATTTTCTGGAGTATAGTGCGCACTTTAGATGTGCTATTTTAGGCCCTAAATCGCAGGTGCGCACTATGCTCCGAATATGAAATGCATGTACTTCAATGACACACACACACACACACACACACACACACACACACACACACACACACACACACACACACACACACACGTACACACACACACGTACTGATACACACACACGTACACACACGTACACACACACACCGTGACATACATGTGAATACTCTACCAGTCCCCTGGACCACTTCAATATGCGACTCACCCAGAATGCAAACGTGCCCGCGGTAGCACTAATATCACTAACACCGAGCACATCCAGTCCTTGTAGCTGGTGACGTACTCTCTGCACCGTATCCACGGTGATGAGGTGGGGCTCGCACTCGCTCACTCGCCTCTTCAGCGACTCCTTGCCCGTTTTACCCATCAGTGCCTTTAGTTGCCACATGAACAGCAAAACAAAACACACACGTGCATGCAGAGAAAGTATAGATGTGTGTACAGTAGCATTGGAATTGTAAGAATGTGTGCAAGATGAGCTTGTACTTGTAGCTTAGTATGTTCATCAATTTTGAAACTCCAGCCGAAATGCTTTTAGAAAGAATCAAATGCATGTGCTGGAAAGGCCTGTTTCAGTCTTTTCTCTGTTTTAACACGGAGTTAAGAATGGAAAGTTCGAGCTTGAAGGTCCTCTAATTAACTTTCTGGGGTCCTGGTACTACCATACAAGTGGAAGCAGTGAAGTGCCACTATGCTATATCAACCGCAGAGCTGAGCCCTAACTGTAGGTCATACGACATATACAGTGTGCTCACTGGTGTGTCACGGCACCGCCATAATTATGATGCAGTCAAACAGCACAAACAGCACAAACAGCACGAACTTCACCTCAGAGCTTGAGCAAGCACCGCACTGAAATAGCTGTCACGGGGAGGGGGATGGGGGGAGGGGGGGGGGGGCTGGTACATGGTGAGGAGCCAACACTCCATTGCACCTCACACGTTGCCCTTCACCCCGACAGGGCCAAGAACACGACGTGTTACCGCACCATGTAATCTCAGCGACACCTAGCCAAATTGTATAATATTATTATTATACCCCACAGCCACGGCTGTCAATCTACTTATAAGTGAGGCCATTTTCTCAGCAAAAGTACAGAGTATGCCGGTGTTCAGAATGCCGGGATTCACACAAGTACAGAGTATGCCGGTGTTCAGAATGCCGGGATTCACACAAGTACAGAGTACGCCGGTGTTCAGAATGCCGGGATTCACACAAGTACAGAGTATGCCGGTGTTCAGAATGCCGGGATTCACACAAGTACAGAGTATGCCGGTGTTCAGAATGCCGGGATTCACACAAGTACAGAGTATGCCGGTGTTCAGAATGCCGGGATTCACACAAGTACAGAGTATGCCGGTGTTCAGAATGCCGGGATTCACACAAGTACAGCGTATGCCGGTGTTCAGAATGCCGGGATTCACACAAGTACAGCGTATGCAGGTGTTCAGAATGCCGGGATTCACACAAGTACAGAGTATGCCGGTGTTCAGAATGCCGGGATTCACACAAGTACAGAGTATGCCGGTGTTCAGAATGCCGGGATTCACACAAGTACAGAGTATGCCGGTGTTCAGAATGCCGGGATTCACACAAGTACAGAGTATGCCGGTGTTCAGAATGCCGGGATTCACACAAGTACAGAGTATGCCGGTGTTCAGAATGCCGGGATTCACACAAGTACAGAGTATGCCGGTGTTCAGAATGGATTCACACAAGTACATGACATGTCCAGTCTCTGCAAGTCAGGACCGGTCAGGTAGTGCCGTTGTTATGGAGTTAACGGATTTGCTGTCAGAATGATAACTCAGACAGTCTGGAAAGGTATTGCAGTGTTCTTCACCAGAGGGTAGTAAAATTCTGGCATCTTACTACTCCATGCTCTTCGGACTTCACCATTACAATTGTAGGCTATGCTGGTCCTTACCTGAATACTGCTCCAGGTCTTGGTGTCCTTCTCCTTCACACCCAGTAGTAGGAAGGTAGCTATGAGCACCTTGTGAACTGCTACTGGCGGTTTGGAGTAGCTGCGAAGCTCCGAGATGACTCCAGCTTTCATGTCCATGATCTACATGTATGCCAGTGTCAGGAACAGAGCATATCCGAATGGGTAAGATGAAGCGACATACAATGAGTGACAGCCGTTATGGGTCGTAGCACTACCCTCATGTACTGTGTTTTCATACAAGGGTGCTATTCATAGAGTGGGTACATCGTACATGTATGCATGCGCCAAGTATGTGTGTGCATGCACACATACACACACACACACACACACACACACACACACACACACACACACACACACACACACACACACACACACACACACACACACACACACACACACCATTTGACCATTTGACGCCCATCGCCAGAGGCGATGATAGCGATGCTACAGCAGAAGCCATAGCAGCTTGTGCCGGGATTGCACCATTCAACAGCTTGCAAGGCTGAAGAATTGACTGCCATTATTCAGCCTGGTGTACACACACACACACACACACACACACACACACACACACACACACACACACACACACACACACACACACACGTTCACATCTCCAGGAGTGCTATAACTCTGCGAGTGGCTTACCTCTTTCTTCTGCCGTGCCAGTTTCTCGAGTTTAGAGATCAGTGCCTTAGCCTCCAACATCTCTTTGTGTAGTCCTTCCTCACAGCCGCTTTTGCGAACCTTTCCCACCGCAGCTTGCAACATCTCCAGCTTGCGTCCTGTGATGGCACCCTTGAGCTCGATGGCGGCTTTCAACTGCTGGAGGAGTTTCTGAGCTTCACTTAGTTCTGGCCAGTCTTCCTTCTCGGGCTTGATGGCTATAGCTTCATTCACAGCCGGCTCCAACTGCTCAATCTGAAACAAGGCAACAACAGGGAAAGGCTCAGAATCAATGTACATAATATTATTATGTCTTCAAACGTGTCACGATCAGTATCAATATCTTGTGGCAGTGGACCTAAAACACTCTTATTGCAACTAGGTTAGGGCTGGGAGACTGACTGATGCAGCACAGTCCCGGCAACTTTAAGTTAGTATCAGTGGCGTGTCCAGGATTTGGCTGGGGGGGGGGGGGGGATGGGGTGGGGGTAGATGACATCATGCTACTGTCCCAGGTCAGCCATTTTGAAAACCGATGTCAAGAAGCCGTAAATCTCACACACCACGAGCAGTATTTCTGTACACGCAGCAACAATTATGTACATTGTAAACTTTTGCCGTTATGTGAGCGAATCAACTGCAATTTATACGAGTCCAACAATTTCTCACCGCTCAAAGCATCCTTTACATAGGCAGCGGTACTTGTCACTGTGCGCTGTTCTTCATGTTCTGGCTGCTCGCTGACAACAGGTACTTCCACGTCTGGCGGAGTGTGACTGTCACGGTCCGCTCCGAAAGTTCAACTGGATTAACGTCAGCTTGCTCTTTTCTAATCATGGAGAGTTCACCTTGCATGTTGACGATTGCCGAGGAGATCGGCCTGAAAAAACTTCCTGAAGGGCGGCCAATTCGGCCTTGACTGCCCCAACTATTTCGGTCTTGATGCTTTCGATCAGGCCATTGACATCTAATATGGAGTCTTCGGCAGGTGAGATAACCTCCAACAGTCTAAGTCACTTACCGGCGACTTGCTGCCTGCATCTCGACCGCATTCCGTAGAGTGTGTGGTTCTGCCCGCAGAACACACGTTCGCCTCTCCAGTAGAGTCACCAGCAGACCGAGAGTCTGTGTCGTCCTCCTCAACGTAGAGATCAAAGCATGGCTTCCCGAAGGCCTGCTTTGGGGTTACCGATCCTTGCTTATAGCTATCGTTTGGATATGAATAGTCGATCAACGGCATGTTCACAACTCAAAAAATGCAACCGCACTCTACGGAACGCTCTACGGAACGGTTGACTCGAAGACTTTTCTCCTTGTCGTTGAAGACGCGTCGAGCGCGTCTATGCAGGGATCACACTGGTCTGTACAACAGTACAGTCAGTGTACACAGTCAGGTCACCGTGTTTCTGTATTTCTGTACTAGACTGTAGCCGTGCATGCTCACTGTACTCGTAGATCTCTACTCTGCTGCTGATCTGTAGACTGTCTTTGTGGTCCACTTTCACAACACACACAGAAGTCTCTGCTGTGAGCACGGTGGCTCGGCAAACTGCACCAACGAAAAGCCACTGCGAAGTGACCAGTGGTGACAGGATCTGAATGCGGTCCAGCACAACATTTTCGCTGAAGCAAAAAGTTGTGGGGAAATCCCAAAATCGGTGCGATTTTGCATGAGCCCAAATGTTCAAGTTACCCACAAAGACACAAGCTTTCCAACTCTCTTTGGCCGTTGGAAAGCGTACCGTACTGTACTAGTCTGTAGTGTGTACAATCAACACCAGCTCGAGCACCGTCCGTAGATCTACCGTGCAACCGCTTTTGGACGATCGTTTCAGGCCGCGCGCGCGCGCGCCTAGCCTAGCTAGCCCTGGCGCCCTGCCTCTTATTTTTCGAAACCTAGGTCGAAACTTTTGAGGGGGGGGGGGCGCCCCCCCTCCCCCCCCCCCCTAAACCCGCCACTGAAGTATGGGTGACGGAAATAAAAGTAATGATCAGCTCCAGCAGGGGTAAGTTGGTGATTGACAAACACAAAGATCAGGCCGGATGATGATGTGACATGCAACACAACTGCAGTATCAGTGTATCTTCACCCAAGGACATAGCCCGCATGAGACACAGGGGCACATCCACCTCCCCCTCCCCTTTAAAAATGTCGACCTACACGTAGGTTCAGCATGTACACAATGACCATGCATGACATGCACCAGCCATCCTACACATATGCAGCCATCCTACACATATGCAGCCATCCTACACATATGCGGCCGTGCACCCCTAAAAGGGGGACCAGCTACGCCTCTGTTCACCTTTCGACTCTTTGTGGCAACCTTGAGGTTTCCACGAACGCGCTTCTCTCGCTCGAGTCTAGCTTTCTTCTTGGCTTGTTTCTGGCGCTGCAATGCTTCCGCCTTGCTCTGCTCGTCCTTGGCGCCGGCAAGAGCAGCAGCTGCAGCCTTTGCTTCAGCAAGCGCTTCTGCTTCTCTCTGGGCTGCATTCTGAACTTCCTCGTCCACCTTTTGTCTAACAAAACATATAGATTATACGGGCAGGAAAAAAATAACTTTCACAATCCAGTGCTGGTCAGGAAAAAAAGCTGGTAATGTTAACCAAGATAGATAGAGACTCGGACATATGAAATGTAAACAATGCATACACGCTACAAGGGCACTGGGCCCGGCTCTGTCAACCAGTGCATGTGATCAACTCTGCGGAGGAGACGTTTACTAGCAGACAGCCGGCACCTACACGTACCTTGCCAGTTCGTCTTCTCTTGCCTGCTGCTCAGCAAGCTGCCTTTCTGTAATGATTTAGAAATGGTTCAAGACAAGCAAGCAGAATGTATAAACCAAATGCCCATGGATATGATGATTGGTGAGCACAAAGAAGGACAAGTAGCTCGTTAAAGGGGAAGTATACCCTAAAATCAAATTTTCACCAGTTGTAGTCTTCTGGGTGCTGAGTCGAATGGTCTTGGTCCGAGGAAGCTGCGACGCTCCCTTCCTACTTGAATCCCAATCGAACTCGCGCACTTCCACCGAAACTGGGTGACTGCGCCCTATTAGATGGGGATTTGTATGCAAAATGTCACTAAAAGCGCCATTTCGTTCTTATAAAAGCACGGATGACCGCGATTGGCCCATATGTTGTAGTCTTTTGGACGCTGAGTCGACTGGTTTTGGTCCGAAAAGGCTGCGATGCAGCGTTCCTCCTTTATTCCCAATCGAACATAGTTGAACAAGCGGTCACGTGCTCCTGCGTACACCAGTCAGCTGGTCACCGTGCCTGCAGGGTACAACTTACTAGCCTGTTTGACCTTTTTTGGGTGCAGTCCTGTCACTCGAGTTGAACTCGAGTTGAACCTTGGTGTGAAAGTTGTCGCCTGCTGGCGCGGTGACCAGGTGATTTGGGCACCCAGGAGCACGTGACCGCTTGTTCAACCATGTTCGATTGGGAATAAAGGAGGAACGCTGCATCGCAGCCTTTTCGGACCAAAACAAGTCGACTCAGCGTCCAAAAGACTACAACATATGGGCCAATCGCGGTCATCCGTGCTTTTATAAGAACGAAATGGCGCTTTTAGTGACATTTTGCATACAAATCCCCATCTAGTAGGGCGCAGTCACCCAGTTTCGGTGGAAGTGCGCGAGTTCGATTGGGATTCAAGTAGGAAGGGAGCATCGCAGCTTCCTCGGACCAAGACCATTCGACTCAGCACCCAGAAGACTACAACTGGTGAAAATTTGATTTTAGGGTATACTTCCCCTTTAAGAATTAAAGTATCGGGCAAGTTGCTATCAGCCTTGAACTCACACTGATGTGATTGTGATAATGAATTGTAATAATGAATTTTTGAAACTAATCCGGTCCTTTTTCATCCAGATCCCTCGCCATCCGAAAGAAAATCGTTGGATACCGATTTACAGCATATGTCATGCATACGTACAATATGTGTGTTCAATTACCCAGTTCCCTCGCCTATCCGGATATTTTTTGTGGAAGACAGATGTGTGCGGTTAAGTGAGGTCCGACTGTAATACTATGCAGACATGGACAACTTAAAAAGAAACCCAAAATCATGTTCCTTAGAGCCTACCTTCTTCCTGCTTCCTCTTCCTTTCTTCCTCCGCCCGTGCCTGTGCCTCCTTCTCAGCTTGTTGCTGTGCCTCTGCAAGACGACGCCGTTCCTCTTCCTCCTCCAATGCTTTCTTCGCCATACGCTGTTGCTCGGCCTCTTCCTTTGCTTTCTCCTCCGCCTGCAGTTTGGCAAGTTCCTTCTCCTCTTCTTCGCGCAGAGTCTGCGCCCGTATTTCAGACTGCAATTGAGAGCGCCTTTCCCTGGCCTGGGTGGCGGCTTGTCGCTGTTCCCGATGCAAATCGATCGTCATCTTTCGTTTTCGGAAACGTGACTTCAGCTCCTTTTCGCGAACCTCCTGTGTCACCCTGTCCTCCTCGTCCTTCTTTAGAGCCACCAGACGGGCCGTCTTCCTTGCTTCTTGATCACGCCGGTCATTCTCAACTGTAGCGACAAGGAGTAAATACGGTGGAACACACGAATAAGATAACATGGAATCTGGGTTAATATGTAAAGAGAAAAGGACCTACAAGTTACTACAGTGAAACCTGTCTACGGCGACCGCTCAAGGGACCTTACAAATATGGTCCCTGTGTACAGGTGGTCTCCTTATCCAGGGTCATTTGACTGGAAATCACATCCCGGTTGTAGTGGTCCTGTTGGACAGGGGTCGCCTTATCAGAGTGGTCGCCATGGCAGGTTTTACTGTAGTTATGACTAACAGTCCACCAAGGTGACGAGATAATATACAGTCAGATAGTGCGACAACAAGGCACAAAACCTGACAAGAGTACTGAGACATTCGACGACTTGACACCTACATTGTAGTTCCAACACATCTACGAACGGCGCAAACCAACAACTTTCCAACTTGGAAAGCTCAGGTGTGGAAAGTTCCAATGAGGGGAAGGGATGCGTCGCGGTAAGAGACCCAGCTCACTCGACAAATCAATCTCACTCATGTCCCTCAGTAACAAAGAATGTCAAACGTTACGGGATGATGATGACAAGACTGGTAGGACCATTGGACAAACTGGTCTAACTACAACTCAAAAACGCAAGTCACCAGACCACTTTTAAAACTTGGGAGGCTCAAAGGTATGTAAAAAATACAAGAATTCTGGTCAGTTTTGTGCCTTGTTGACACACCATCTGACTGTATATTATCTCGTTACCTTGGTTACCTTGGTTACCTTGGTTACCTTGGTGGACTGTTAGTAATAACTAGTAGGGTACCCTGTAAAAAGGCCCTAGGCCTGTGGGACTGCCCTATTCAAAATTTAATAATAATAATAATAATAATAATAATAATAGTAACTTATACATGCAGGTCCTTTTCTCTTTACATAGTACTGTTGGCTCAATGTCCGAGATTTAATTTGGGTTTAAAACATAAAAGAAAATTCAGATTGGACTACATGCAAGTCAAAGGTTGATCGGAGCAGCCATTCCCGAGTTTTAACAGCTTGAAGTTTACACTAAATTGGTGACATCATGATGACGTCATTAACTTGCCCAGAGGCCAGAGCCCCCAGACTAGGCCGGACGTATGACGTCAGAAAGATAGACTTTATTATTATTATTATTATTATTAAATTTTTGATAGGGCAATCCCCACAGGCCTAAGGCCTTTTGACAGGGTACCCTAAAAAATGAAGAACAGAATTACGGAAGGTATGCAAGGAAGAACTTGAGCGGACCTCCGCTGGGAGGGCATTCCAGCGGTCAGAGCCAAGGAAAGTGACAGAAAATAAACCATAGCGACGTTTGGCTGTCGGAAGAGCAAGGGAAGAGGACACTTGAGAGCGGGTGCGACTTTGTATGGGAGTAGATGGGAAATAACCAATTTCTTTGTTGCCGGTTTCTCTAACAAAACAAGCTTCCTACCAGAATTTTTTCTAGTCGGGATGCCCGACGTTGCATACCGAAATGTGAAAACATCCAACTCCTTTGGGGACAATGGAGAGCCAAAATACTGCTACACTATATACCGGCATCAGCGTACATGTCTAGTAAAACCTGTCAAGGCAGTGACCACTCGATAAGGCAACAACCTGTCCAAGAAGACCACTGAAACCAGGATCAGGGGATTCTGTTGCAGTTAGACTGGTGCAGCATGCTGGCTGTTAGAGTACAATCATTCATGCGTGATATGGATAGGCGGATGTGTTAGAGCTATGATCCATGTGTGCTTCTAATAAAGTTCTATTCATGCATTCCCATCAAGAAGGCCATGTGTCAGGTCTATTCAGTACTCTGGTGTCTAGACGTCTGCATTCTATTGTTGTATCACATTACATGGTCGAGTGTTGCCATAGGGTCTTTCTATACCATGTATGTGCGTGCACTGTTATTAGCTATTGCTATCTTTTGTTAGGCCAGAGTTGGTTTTAGCCTAGTTGTGGAGATGTTCAGGTTTGAGTTCTTGGAGAGTTGTGACTGTTTTCAGATCATGAGTCAGTGTAAACATTGTGTCCTGGAGATCTTTGTGTGTGGATAATCCCGGTTCCGGGGAGAAACGGAATATCTGGTCCTTCGAGCCGGATCTGGAAATAGTCATCATGGAAGGTGAAGATAGGAGTACGCGCAGAAGTGCGCGGTCAACGAGAGGTGTAGCACCTCCCCGTTTGGGTTTTGAAGAAGAGCGCTCGATGCGCAGTAGTAGGAGATCGGGAGGAGGACAGTCCCGATCTTCATACGAGACTCAGCGTCGAGTTCTGGAAGCAGAAAAGAGGCTCCTGGAGAAGGAGCTTGAGCTCGTGAGGTTAGCTCAAGACGAAGCGTCGTCAAGTGGCCAAGGGGCCAAAGGATCGTCCTCTCCCAAGATGGCCTCCGAAGTCTTCGCAGAGGAGCTCATAGAAGGCCATGAAGCTGATGCAGCCGTTGACGCTGGCCAAGGAGATGAGGCTAGTATGGGTGAAGTAGAAGTTGCGCACCTGCCAGAACATGCAGTGGCTGTTTCTCACGATCCAGAGCCGCACGCAGTGCCGAGTCCCAGTGTAGCCGGAACTGTCAGTGCCCACACAAGCAGGAGTTTGCCTGTGGCGGCGAGGACTGAGTCTGAGGTCGCACGTGCGTCGACGAATACGGAGCAGGCCAATCTGTCAGGGTTGCGAGTGCAACAAGAGTTTGTGCTGAAAGAGAAGCGCTATCAGCGGGAACTGAGCGAAGCTCAATCAATAGCGGACGCCGAGCAGCGACGTGTAGCGAAATTGAACAAGGATCTTGCGAGCGCTCGTGCAGACCTGTCATCGCTGCAGGCGGAAAATAGGCGAATCACGCAGGAAAAAGAGGTGTGCGAAGCTGAGCGGGATGTATCGGAAAGGGAACTGCGCGAGCTGCAGCCGCATCTCGAGCGCCTGGAAAGAGAACACCAGGAGGGGCGCATGTGTTTGGAAGATCTCCGCGATCAGAATGACCGCTTGCTGACGCGAGCCGAGCAGGTTTCAGCAGAGCAACACGCGCAGCGAGCTGAACTGCTCGACAAGCTCGAACGCCTTCGCGCGGAGAACGCCAGCCTGCAACAGCGGGCGGATCGAGGCGGAGGCCGAGGGTCGGATGAGCAGCGAACACAGCGAGCGGAGTTGCTAGTTCAGCTGGACCAGCTTCGCGGAGAAAATGATCGCCTGCGGAGGCGTGCGGACCACGACCAGTACACCGCACAGTGTTCTAGTGCGCAGCAACAGGAGCTACGCAGTCGGATTCAGAGCGATCAAGAGCCGGAGGAGATAGTGAAGACGCACCAAGCAGCTGGTTCCACGGTCAAAGGCCTTCAGCAGGATGGACGTGGGCAAGCAGATGAGGGTCTGCAAAGCCAGCTATCAAGGCTCACCGCGCGACAAGCCAAGATCAACACCGACTTGCCAGCGTTCTCGGGTGCAGCAGAAGAGTGGCCAGCATTCCACCACATGTTTCAGTCTACGACCAAGCGATGTGGCTTCACGGAGGCTGAAAACATTCAGAGATTGCGGGTCTGCCTAAAAGGTCCTGCAAAAGAGGCAGTAAGAATGCTCCTCATCGTGCCAGAGAACCTGCCGAAAGTTCTCTCAGCGCTGGAAAGGAGGTTCGGGCGGCCAGAACTAGTAGTCACGGAGCTCGTATCGAAGGCGAAATCAGCTAAGCCGGTACGCAGTGACGATGTAGAGACCTTGGTGTCGTACAGCACCTCGGTTAAGAATGTAGTGTTATGTATGAAGCTGCTTGGTAGCTGTGGACATATGTCCAACCCTACCCTCCGACAGGAGCTAGTGAATAAGCTGCCAGTTGCACTGAAGATGCAGTGGGGCGAATACTTGGCGGAGAAAAGGATCCAGATGGATTCCCTCGACCTGGAGGTCTTCGCAGACTGGCTAGAAAATCCAGCAGAGGCTGCGCTGAATGTGGCCGGGCCGTTTGCCAAAGCGGCCCCTCGAGCAAGTAATGCAACAGCTATGCACACCACAGGTGGTCCAGCCAGCACAACTAAGCCAGTGTTGCAGTGCGCCAAGTGTGGTAAAGCGCACTCCCTCACCAGTTGTGATGTCTTCCGCCAACTGTCAGTGAAGCAGCGGTGGGACTTCGTGCTTGGAACATCGCTATGTGTGTGCTGCTTCAAGACAGGCCACTGGAAGTCCGAATGCAGAGGCAGTGGTTGCAACAAGTGCCGAGGCAGACACCACCCTGACCTCCACCAAGAGCGCGCACCTCCGGCCAACCAAGGCTCAACGAGCAGGAGCACAAAGCCACGAGAGAATGTGGTTCCGCAACACAGCACGAATACGTCGGTGGCAACCACGCAGAAGACCGCTTTTATGGTAGTCCCTGTCGTGTTATGCCATCAGGACAAGACGGTGCGGGCCACAGCCATGATGGACAGCGGTTCTTCAACAACATACCTGAAAGACAGTGTGGCAAACGACCTCGGGCTGCAGGGAACACCAACGGCATTTACGGCGTCGGTTCTGGGGGGAAAGACAGTCTCAGGAAAGCACCGTCGCGTAAAAGTGACAATGGCGTCGGAAGACGGCTCATATGAAACCCAGCTGGAAGCATGGACGCAGCCAATAGTTACAGCACCGATGGAGATGATCGAGTGGAACTCGAGGAGACACATGCACAAGCACCTCCAAGAGGTTACCTTCCCGCAGGTGACTGGGGACCAAGTCGACCTGCTGATAGGACTCAACGTGCCAGAAGCGCACAGAGTACTGGAAGAGCTGGCAGGACAGCCGGGCGAGCCAGTTGCTCGAAAACTTCCCCTCGGATGGGTATGTTTCGGTCCCGTCAAGTCGCAAGCGGCAGAGTTCACAGAGACGTCCCTGCATGCGAATGTCAGCGACAGGAGCAACGCAGTTCTCGACGACCTCGTCGCAAAGTTCTGGGAGGTAGAGAGCGTTGGTTTGGTTCCTAAGGCTACGAAAACGGTCGCGGAGGAGGAAGCACAACGTATGGTTGAAGGAAGCATG